CCACCATGGGTATCCAGACACCTTGGTGTTGTCCAGCGTCCCTGTGAACTTCGCTGGCCTTTTCTGTAAGAACGACTGCACTCCCTCGGTGTTATCACTACACGTTGTTAGCGCTTGCAATCATTCGGGGCTTCGACCACTTACGGCGATCCAAAGAGCTCATAGATGACCCTGCTGTCTAGCAAATGCTGTGCCTCCGGATTCCCCGCATCTCTGTACATGAGCTCCTTCATGAGATATGTCGATACACTGCTTGTGTTCTTGACCACATCCTCAGCAACCTCGAGTGCCTTCGGAAGCACATCTTCAGGCTTGTCCACTAGCTCGCTGAACAGGCCGTCCCAGACCTTGTCGCTCGCCAGGTATGTCGCACCTGTTGTAACGGCCTTCATCGCACGACTGTGTCCGACAAGTCGTGGAAGGAAGAAGGACGAACACGCTTCCATGATGAGGCCGCGGCGCGAGAACACAAAGCCAATCTTCGCATCCTTGTACGCGATACGGATGTTCATGGGCAGCGTCATTGTGATGCCGATTCCAACAGCACTACCCTGCAAGGCGCCGATGGTAGGCTTGCGACAGTGGAATATCGAGAGTGTTACTCGGCCCCCGCTATCACCTTTTATCAGCATGGCTATCCATATAGTTTACCGCATAACATACCCATCGCGATGATCCTGCACCCTCTCCGCATCCTCACCAAACGTCCCCTGCCCAAATCCAGCATCTAGATCCGCTCCAGCGCAGAAAATGCGCCCGGTACCTGTGACTACGATGCACTTTACGCGCTCGTCCACGTCGAACATGGCATATGCGGCTTCAATCTCCTCGCGCATTGTGTCTGTGAAGGCATTGTAGTTCTTGGGGCGGTAGAGTGTGAGGATAATGACAGAAGGCTCTTTTTCATGGTGTCGCGTCTGGATTTGCGTGAATTTAAGGTCGTTGTACGAGGAGGGAAGGGTGATGTCGGGCTTGTGGCAGGGAGACTGGTGGCCGCGAGAAGGCATGATGGGCTGCTCGAACGATGGCGCAAAGGGTAAGTAAGCGATTAGTAGTGAGCGGTCAATAACGTATCGATTAAAAGCTGTTTCCAGACTTCACATATGAAGCTGGGCCTAAATAGCCTACATGGCTGTGCAGCAGCGTACTGAGCGCAGTGCGGAGAAGCAGGACCTCGGCAGCGCGTTTGTCGACGTCGAAGGGTTCGGCTTGGCTGCAGCGACCAGCCAATGGGGAAAGTACTCAAATGTGCAACTTAACGAAGTCACCACTCTGTAAGTGGTATGAACTCTCGGAGCTAGCACGGGCGGCTTCTCACTCGTCATTGGGAAGGCGCCGTGTTGATGGAGAGCTTTAGCTATTAACATTACAACATCAGCTTCGACTCTATATCATCCAGTCTCCCGGCGAAACAACAAAATTCGTCATATAACGTTGATAAGTGCACACCACATGCTCTCGTAAATCGATCCCCGTCGTGTTACGATATAAATTTCCGTCATCCAGATTCAGACCTTCTCGGGATCATTGATACCACCGTTGGTAATGATATACGTCGCCTCCTTCTCTGGCATATCTGTAACATGGTAAGCATGGGTACTTCGAAGCCATGGTGCCCACATACCTGGAGAGTCCTGGATCTTTGCCACACGCTCCTCGCCACGGCCCTTGCGAAGCAAGATGCGGGTAGCTGACGCGTGAGCGAGGATGTGACCCCCGACAGGCTTGCGACCGTCTGCACCAGCGAAAAGAGCGCTTGCTCCCGGATCGCTCTGCACCTGGTTGGTCAAGAGGACGGCAACATTGAACTCTGTGTGGTATTAGTAATGGCCGTATGCCGTGGATCTGACTCTACCGACCTTCAGCGACGTGGGTCAACTTCGACAGGAACTGATTGAGCTTCTGCTGGCGCTCATTCAGCTCGCCACGGCCCGTGTAATCGACTCGAAAGAGCGCCATGATGCTGTCGATAATAAGGAGGCGGTACTCGTTGCCGACAAAGAACTCGGCAACCTTGTTCAGGAGCTCCATTTGGTGCTCAGAGTTGACGGCACGAGCGTATGTGATGTTGTCTTGCGCTATACGTTGTAAGGAGACGAGATAGTATTGATATAAAAAGCACTCACTGGTCTCTGGATCGACACCAAATCGCTCAGCGATCTGAGCGATTCTCTCCGGTCTGAAGGTACCTTCCGTATCTGCGAAGCAAGGTTAGAACAGTCGTGGGACGATGAGCGCCACATACCAATATAGGCCACCTTGCCCTCAGCTCCGCCCATATCTTTTGGTAGCTGCGCGATGACTGACATAGTATGGGACATCTGCGTCTTTCCACAACGGAACTCGCCGAAGACCTCGCTGATGCTCATAGTCTGGAAGCCACTTCAAAGTGTAAGCAATCATAATCTTGAGGCGCAATGAAGCATGCACCCACCCTCCCAGGATGGTGTCGAGTTGTTTGCTTCCAGTCGAAATCTTGAGCACACGCTTGCGCTGCTGGCCGAGTTCATGTGCGGTCTGAAAGCCGCCTCCTGCAGGCTGAAGGTTTCGTCAGTGTTGACCAGAGTGTAAGGCGAGGGAAATGGTCACCTGGCACTTGGTAATCGCGTCCTTGACCTTGTCCACCTTGATCTCACTGAAGCCTTTAATCTTGAGCAGGTTACGACGAGTGGCCGAATGCACTGAAGCAATCGTGTAGTAGCCGTTGGCTTTCAGCTTCGCAATGTCAACAGCACCGATGCCATGTGCTTGGATCGCATCGATGTCGACAATGAAGCTGTCCTGTTGCGGTTCGTCAATTCAAGTTCGTGACAGGAAATGAGGTAGCATATACATCACCCGAGTCGTCGCTCGCAACTGAGGAAGGTGCCATGATCGAGAATTGGGTGGAAAGAGCTGTCGCAGAGAGGTGCACTGATAATACAATATGACCCGAGAGAAGAGGGAAGATCTAAGAGTGCAGAATAGTCGAGCAGAAGAAAAGGTGAGGAAGCGGAAGAGAAGGTTGCAAGAGTGAGATTTGGAAGAAAGAGCGATGTTGAGCCACGCTAAGTGCGTGAGCACGTGCGGGTGCTTTGGAAGGAAGGCACGACGGGTGTAGCATCAACCAGACCGAACGTTTGCGCAAATCTTCCCGAATAGACAAACAACTTCTGTGAGTAATGTGGTAGTCCTCTCCGCCACTACCTAATTAACCCCCCAGCATGAAGCGCACTGAGTCTTTCTAGGACAAGGCCAAGGCACACCACCTTTCCCAGGTTATCATTCTTCTTTGGGCGATATAATAGTAGCATGGGCGTTCTCTTGCTGAGATCTCCTCAGGATTCACATCGTGTCCGGCTGGATGTTCACTGATGATCTCTTGTGCTCTACCTTTACTAGTGGCAAGTTTGAACAAGGTCTCAAAGGCCTTCATGCCCTCTAATTCAAGTGGGATTTCATCGCATCGTTTCGAGGTTGGTGACCCATCTGACAGATATTTCTCCTTTACACGCGCCCTGGCCCTCATGTTTCCGGCCTCACCCTACCCCTCCCCTCTCTCATTCTCTCGACCCTCTTCCTATCCTCCTCAAATCGTCTCCTCAGGCCCATTTCCACTTCCTTCCTCTTCTCGCGATTCTGGAATCGGTAGAAATCGTCTTTGACCGCGTTCTTCTTCTTCCTGGCCTCGAGCTCTTCCTTCTTCTTTTCTGCATCCTCGATGCGTGCGGGCCCTGCGCGACCGCCGCGTGTGACGGTGACGAAGCCCTCTTCGTCGGGCACAGAGCGTGCCGTCTTTCGATGTTTGTTGCGTAGAGTCTCGAGGGTGTTAAATTGCGAGAGGTAAGCGTTGAGAGAGTTTTGGAGGGATGTGGGAGTCGGGTAGGTAAGTATGTTGTGTCTGCGGTATCCTGGTGTTTGCGTTAGTTTTGAGCAAGACGGCGCATTTGGTGTCTAAACATACGTTCAACGCCCAGAGCTGCATTACCGCTCTTCCAACGTATGCTCTTACTATCCTTGACAGCCTTGTATATCTCCTTCATGGCGCCCCTGGCACTCATCTTGTCGACGAAGATAACGACTGCTCCACTGCCGCTTCGTCGTAACTCGCCCGGCCATATTGAAGGCAACGCACTCTCTGCGTCTTCCACCACGCCTTCGGCGACAAGAGCCTCCTCATTGCGCTTCCTCTTCTTTCCCCGCTTCTCTCCGTCTTCGTTTCCAGGCTTGTCTGTCTTCCACCGCTTGTGCATCGGTTGTGCTGGTATGGGTGCATCAAACTCCACGCGCTCGACCATTGAGCCACCAAGCTGCTCGGCAAACAGCGCCCGCATATTGCTTTCTGTCGCATCGATCGGTACATTCGCGATGAATAGACTTCGTCCATCGGTCGCAGTTGGTACGCTTGGCGCATGTGGTTTAACGTAGATGTAATGTCTCGCATCCTTGCATTGCTCGGGTAGGCTGAACGAGGTGGGAAGCACGAGTTCGAGAACCGTGAAGTCTGCGACAGTCTTCGGGACATGCTTTGTAGCCTTGGTCTTGGTGGCCTTTTCGGGAGCCATGGCGCGTGAGGATTGGAATACGCTCAGGTAATATGACCTAGCCGCAGGTGCGATTTCAGGCTGGGTAAGCGACTGGCTAATTACGGGACGCTCGTTGGGCGGAGGCGGGTTTGGAACATGTGTGTAAGGTTGGGTGGGACTTTCACAAAGTTGGAGATCCCAAAATTTCTGCAGGGATGGCACGTCCCCCCCAAGTGCGACCTCAGGACTGCGCTATTGCGCATTCGCAAGTCTCATGGAGCGATTCAACAAGCGCTTGTCTTCTTCTGGGTTGTGATAGAAACTTTGAAATGCCACATGGGTTATTCTTACATGTCTCGCCGAGAACAGACGCCGTTCCGTCAAGTCAGCAAAGAGGCTGTAAGCAAATCAATACTCACGTATTTCGCATGCATGATGGGATTTGAGACCCGTGGTGCATTTACTTTACATATTTAAAGATACTACTTTTACTAATACTACGCAAGCTGTCGTCCTGACAGCGCAAGAATTTGATGATGCATAATGGGGAATCGAACGTCAAAGAAGGCGTAAGCCATGCGCAAATGTTTAAATGTTTATAGCAGTCGTGATTCGTAAGTGACAAACCTCGGGAAATTGGTCGTCAAGTCAGTAGGACTTAGCCGGCCGTCAAGTTCACTCGAAACTGCCTGGGACAGTCTTAAGAGGAGAAGGTGGGGAAGATTGCAGGTAATCTTTCTTCTCCACCCTCTTCTCGGCCTCGGGTGATGCTTCGTTCGAGAGCTTATCTTCAACGTGGTCAAGGTTGGCGCCTTCGACAGATGACAAGGAAGATGTCGAGTCACCGTGTCTGAGAGACGGGGTAGAGATGGGGCTTTGCTTCTCGGCAGCAAGCGATTGCCCGTTGGTAGCATCGTGCGCACGCTCGCTCGAAGCTTCTGAGGCGGTAGAAATTCGATTGGGACGGTGTGGACTTCTAATAGGAAGCTGCGGGGGCATCGGCTTCGCGACCTGCACGACGCGGGCACGGGTAACGACTTGAGGTGCAGCAGCCTGGTGGACTTCATGAATAATAACAGGCTCTTCTTCCTCCTCATCCTCGTCTCCCTCGTCATCGTCGTCCGAGCCGACCTCGTTAGATGCCTTCGGGTCGGTTGTGTTCAATCCTTGCGACTCGGCTATCGCCCTTTCCAGAATCTTCTCCGCTTCAGTCTTCTCTGCTGGCGGTTCAGTCACTTCCACCTTTGGCTGCAGGGTCTCGATTATCGGAGGCGTCGGTAGGCGAGCTATGCTCTGTCTCGGTGGCAGCGTGGGTGGCATTTTCTTGGGTGGTGGGGGCAGATCGTCGGTCTGTGTGCTCGTGTCCATCATAATACTCGGTGTGCGTGGTTCGAGCACACTGCTGATAGTGCTAGTGCGCCAGCTAGATCTTCTGCTCATAGCTATGCTCGATCGGTTGTCCATGCTTCTCCTGAATGTCGCGTATATTGGGCTTGTCGGGCTTGGCTTGAACTCGAATTGCTCACTTGTCGGCCTCTTGTGCGTGCCTGCTTCCTTGATTTCGAAACCAGCGTCCTGTAGCGCTAGCACGCCAAACGGATCGGGGTCTTCCTTCGCAGGGATACCGAAAGCTTTGTCGTCTGGCGCTGTGACCTCGTAATCCGCGGGTGGTGCTTCGTCCGGTATTAGAGACTCGTCCACATCCGTGTCGCCTTGAGCAGCTTTGAGAGTCTCCATCAATCTCCGGACTTCGTACGGAGCGTGGCGGACCTTCCCGGCCAAGATGTCTTTGACCCCGATGCGCTCGCCATAGAAGCGCTCGTTCTCGTCTGTCCGTTCGATGACGATGGTACCGTCGAGCTGTAGACCCGCATAGAAGCCGCGCGACTTGATGTACGTAAATAGGGGCGACTGGCGTTTGTGCAGTTCGGTGTCGAGGATTCCACCGACTCCAGCAGGACCAGCTACTGCACTGATCTCCCCACCCAGTGTGCACCGGATGGACTGGAATGCTTCGAGCGCCTTGTCCGAGTTTATGACGATGACACAGTCGTAGATGTCGACCCCTACAAGAAACCCAACACCAACCGTGTGCATCATTATGCCGCTTGGTGGTGACCAGGTGCCATCTGGTTTCCTGGCAACGAGAACGCCGGCGCCGCCTGACCCGCTGACCCAGAGGCCGGTTCGCATAGTCGTGAATATGCAAAGGCCTTTTGCGTTCTTGATTACAGTGGTCGGGATCTTTTTGAGTACTCGCTGTTTTCCCTTTGGAATGCCCTCGACCGGCGGGCGGTCTTCTTCTTGGTAGTATCCATCCTCTGCACTAGAGTCAGAGACTACGACAGCACAATGCGAGCGGTCAACTTACTGCAGAAACTCTTCAAGATACGCGCAGCCTTGTCGGACTCGATGTCGAGCGTTGTTGGCCAGAATGCTTCAGAGCCGATCTTGTTGGACAGGCGGTTGACAGGCGCACCCAGTTTGTCGACCAGGTTGTAGACCTTGTCAAAGCCGACCTTGGAGTTCTCTTTGGTCTTGGACCAGAAGGCCATGGCGGTCACTGTGGGGGTGTGCGCGGGCGCAGCAGGCTTCAGGAGCGCAGAGGATGTGGAACAGCCGGAAGGCTACTAGACATTGGGGACAAAGGACATAGATGTACAATGGCTCGCACGACACCAGCGGCAAAGGACGAGTGACGGTGCGGAAGCAGCGGGTACAGCAAGACCTGACCTGACCTGACCTGGCCGAGCCGGTAGCAGCGGGATGCACCGTTTTGGACTTGGGCCAGAGGTGTCAGCTGGTTGAGCTGGTCGAGGCTGATGAATCGCAAAGGCAAAGACGCCGTCCCAGTGACCAGTCGAGCAGCACGGGTACCTTAATAATAACCCTGGCGCCATTACGCAGTAGCGCACCCTTGTGCAAGCTGCTGCAAGCGACGGGGGGGAACTGGTGACGACGCGATATCGAATTCATTATAGAGGGCATGGCGGGGGACTAGAGTCGGCTCTGATAGGCACTACCAGCAGGTTTTGTCGCCCCATTCGCTGCTGGCCTGCGCATTCCTCGCCGATCCAGGAACGGGGCGCTGAAAGACGGGCAAAAACGAATGCAAAGAGGCTTGCAAGTGCGGTGCTAGACAGATATGGCGAGGCAGCAGCACGTGGCGGTGCAATATAGTATAGATTGCAGGTGGATGTCTGGTCTGGGGTGTGCATGGGCTTGCTGCTTGCTGACTCTCTGCCGCCGACGGACAAAAGTTGTTCCTGGCAATGGGATGCGCGCCAAGGTTCCCTACGCGTCGCCCGACCTGTCGCGAAGTTTATGTCTTGCGCCCACGACAACAACGGCACCTGCCCAATTCCCCAACGCATTCCTGGTGTTCCACGGCATTGATGAAGGACTGCGCGCTCATTTGGACATAGAAGCCGGAAATTGCAGTGCCCTTTCCTTTGCTCTGGCCCCGACCCAGCCCACCGACGGCCAGCTAGCAGCCGCGCAGTACCACAGCAGCAATGTTTCGCTCAGGCGTGCACTCGTCCACGCCGCCGAGGTCGCAGTCCAACTCCCGCTACTCGCATCGCGGCGACCCATCGACGACGCCCGCAGGGCCACCGCCCGACAGGTCCTTTGGGCCCTCGTCGACACCCGCCGGCCCGCCTCCAAATGCGGGCCCCTTGTTCGGAAGCAACAAGCCTACCTTTGCTCCGAGCACCAACTTCAGCTTCAGCAACGCCTTCCCAAGCTCGCCGCCCAAGCATGGCCAGCTTGAGGGCTTTGGCCTAGGGGCAATTGGCACGTCCAACTCAGGCAGGCCTGCAGCACAACGAGGGCGCACCATCTCAGGCGGCGGCTTCAGCACTGGCTTCCAGGTACCCAGCAGCTCGCCCCCGCCCGACGATGACGCAGAGGGCGAGTACGACGAAGACATGGACGAGGAAGAATATGAGGATGACGAAGACTACGACTCGGACGAGGCAGAGCAGCTGGCAGCCCAACGACGCGCGAGAACACAGAACCGGCTCTCGCAATCGGCCATGTCAAGAACCAGCGCCAACGACCTAGAGCGAGAACCGACAATAGTGCGGGCAGGCGCAAAGCAGACCAACTTCGACTTCCTCGCCATTGCCAAAGGTCTAACGCCGCCCATCAGCCGCATCACTTTGCAGGAACCCGACCACGTCATTCTCGAGACGGAGCGCCTAGTCGAGAAGGTGCATGAGTCGCTTGATTCCGACACGCCGGACAGGCGGACCGAGGTATTGGGGCAGGTCGCTAAGGAGCTGGTGTCGCTGTGGCAGACAGCAGGGAAGTCAAAGGGAGGCTTGTCGTCCAGCCAGTCTGGAGGCGCGACCACTCTGGGCGCTGCAAGTAAGCTTGCAAGTCTGTTGCTGACCCTCCACCATCCGCCACCGACCGCTCAGAATCAGCGCACTTCCGCGCTGTCCCTCGTGCCGTCGCGACCCGATTCGAGACAATACAAGCCGGTCCCCAAGATACTGCTAGATTGGCTAAACGGCACGTACCCAGATGTGTCCGAAGTTCAACTCGTGCTGAAGGAAACGCATGGCTACTCGAGGCATCCATCTTACTGGGAGGGCGTGCAAGCTGCCGCTGTCCGGGGCAATTTCCAGCAGTGTCTGCAGTTGCTACAGGGCGCCAACCTTGAGTTCGCTGCGACAGCCCAAGAAGACGGTCTGGGAGATTCAGGTTATAGCGGATCTCATCTTCGGCATGCGAATGAAGCAGTACGCGCAGCGACTGACCTGCTGCGCGAGTGTCCAGCGCTTGCCTCGGAAGATTGGGATGTAAAGGGCCATGATTGGACCATTTTTCGCCAACGCGTACAGCAAGCGTACATGGCTCTGCAAGACTTTGCAGAAGGAGATAGCGCCAGCCGAAATGCCGTATCACAGTCGTTCACAGCCTCTCATTTCGGCATCTCACAGTCGCAAGCCAATTTTGGACTCAGCGTAGCCAGCCGCAAAGCCGAGAGTAAGGTACCGTGGTCGATATATGAAAACCTGCAGAGGTTATACAAGCTTCTGGCTGGCAATGAAGGAGAGATACTAAACATAGCGGCGGACTGGATCGAGGCCGTATTGACGCTGACGATTTGGTGGAACGGCGAAGAGGAAGAAGCAGATCAGGGCAGCCTTGCAGCCACTCGCCGCTCAATCATGCGATCCCAGCGAGTACGCTCCGTCGATATCACACCTGTCAAAGCATATTGCCAGCGCTTGTCTGCCTCATTGGCAATGGTGATTGCGAACAGTGACGAAGACTTCAGTGTCAATGTCACAGACCGCTTTGAAGTAGGACTTGCTTGCGTAGTGGATGACAATATCGAGGGAATACTACAGATCCTGAGTGGTTGGTCACTTCCTGTAGCTGCAGCGGTCGCAGAGCTCGCAAGCGCTGGCGAGTGGTTCCTGCGCGCTGACGGCATCATGGACCATTTTGACCAAAGCGACCTAATGGTATTGAGCTACACTGAGCAACAACGGACAGGTGTGAGCAAGGATGACTTCCTGGTCGCATATGCCAAGCTGTTAGCGACAAAAGGACAGCTCAAAGACCAACATGGTCAAGCATCAAAGGAAGGCTGGGAAATCGCCGTTCAGGTATTAGGACGACTTGATGATAGCATAACAGCCAGTGGACGTATTCAGCAGATCCTCAACGAGCTTCCGCTCGAATCGTCCATTCGTGTTGACAAGATCACCCGACTCTGTCATGAGCTTGGTCTAGCGCAACATGCCTTGACCATAGCCCAGGTATGTCATCCATTCACACAACCGCAAGCTCTTTTGTTAACGATGTCAGAAATATGCCGACCATCTCCGAACGAACACCCAAAATTACGGCGACACCCTGTTATACTACGCTCGCGCCCATAACACCCCCAAAGTTCAGGAAGTATTACGAGTCCTAGTCGCCCACTGCCTGATAAAATCCATCGCCTTCCCACCTCCACATGAACTTGACGAGTCTCTCAACTCACTCATCACATCTCCCAAGCAGACCCTTACCAACCTTGCAAGTATCGACTCTGAAGCCGCAACAATGCTCTCCAATCACCTCAGCGGCTACGCGACGATCCGCAGATTCTACGATCTCCGAGATGAAGAAGTCCTCATGAAGGAAGGCGAATATCCAGCCCACCGACCCATGGCCCGTAAACGCGCCGCGGCAAGTGCGCTCAGTGTCATAATTGCGAGCGCAGCATCAAGTATCCGCGGTGGCCTATACGACCCCGAGATTGAAACCGTGGTTCCAGTCGATCTCATCCTACCACTTCTTGGCGAAACTCTGGTCTTCGTCAACCAACCGAAACGCACCTTCACGCTTCGACACCTATATAATCTTCTAGCTGCAATTGAAGACTTCGAAACTGCACCGAGCATGATACGGACGCAGTGCGAAGAAGTACTGTCAACCACATTGTCAGCTGCACACGATTCACAACACAATCTGCAGAAGTCAACATCCAACCTGACGACTGCCTCCAGCCAGTTCTCGCTAATTGAGTTTGGTTCGACAGATGGACAGAGCACTGAAAGTTCTGCTATGCTGACCAAGGGTGGTGGTGTTGACGAGAGCAAGCGCGGTTGGGATTGGAGACGTGGATTCTACAAAGGCGCAAATGGTGGGGATCTAATTAGGGTGCTGAGGCTTGGTGTTGCGAGGGAGATTGGAAGAGCTTTCGCGGACGGAGAAGTCAAGGCTTAGGAAGCCGTGATACCATAATTGTATGAATAGTAACAAAAGTGCGTACGAGGTGCTGGCGTCGAGATCAATAGCGACAGAAAAGCGCTATGCTCCTGCACAATGGCTCCTCAGTCTGCTCCTTGTGGTTGTGATATATTCATGTCCATTGTGGCACAGTGACCACCTGTGGTTCCATGAAACACGATGGACTGCCCAAATAGCTTCTACTCACAGTATAGCCTAGAGGTACTCGCAAATTCCACTGCTCTGGAAGAATCACTCTGTTGCCGCGTACAGCTTGGGAATCACTGCAGAAGTAACTAGAAGGTATGAAGCTTGTTGAGCGTTGTTGGCCTGTCTGTAGATTGTGCGTGGGTACGAAGTAGACTAGATAGGAACAATGTAACGAAGGAAGCACGAATGAACATGAACGATGAAAACTTGATTGCTATGTAAATCCGTCAATCCCATACCGTTCTCTCCATGGCGGTACGTGATGCGCCGACAGGCCTATCAACAACTACACCTAGCTTGCTGCATTTGCATCACCACAAACCAACCCCTTTCCACTTCCCTTCGCGTTCGGATCCCCATCTCTCAACCTCCCATTCCTACTACCATGCCTATCTAGCTGCCCACTTGACTTGATATCTCGCCTGCCATCAACGTCGTTCGACGCGAGCAAGGCCTTGCTGTTGCAATTGTGCGTTCCTCCGTCGACGGTGAGACGCTTGTCGCCGTCTGTGCATGTGCAGGTTGTAAAGACGGGGAAGTTGCCTAGCTTGTCGCTAGTTATGGGTGACTTGCCACTCGTGGCTGAGGATGCAACGGCGTTGTCGGTCTGTAGAATTGTCTGGGCGGCTTCTGTGCCGTCTCCGATGCCGTCGCCTTCTTTCCTGATCCATTGCAAGTCGCGCAGAGGCTCCGTTCGAAGCGAACTGCTATTCTTATCCGTGACAGTGGCTGCATCCGGGCGAAGTCGATTTTCCGTGCTGGCAGCGATTGCGTCAGGAGCTAGGAGCGAGTTGTAAGAAGGCATCTCCTTCATGCCGGGCTGTATGCCTTTGAGCGTCTCGGGTTTGCTATGTGCCTTCTCCCATACTAGGAGAGGCAAGCCTTGAGGGAAGGTCTGTGATGCCTTGAGCGAGTTGCACTCCCAGTACATCTGTTCTTGGCCGAGATGTAGGAAGCGGTGACTCAGTAGCCGCTCTTGTAATGCCCACGCCCGAGTATCCCATGCAAATCCGGAATCGCTCTCTGCAAGTGCTTTCCTGAATTCTTCTACCCCATTCTCGATGGCATCCAGTACGATCGTCAGGGCCGCATTGCGGAACACGGATGCCATGTTGGCACACTCTTCTCGCCTGCTTTCCTCTGCATCTTGTATGACACATAGGGAGTCGGTCCATATGTACCGGTATCCAAGGTCTTGTGCTGCAGTGATCGCAGTATTGAGTGCACCGGATAGTGTTGAGAGAGGTATTCCCAACTGCATAGCCTCCAGGTCAGCAGTTGTCAGGCTTGTATGCGACTCGTTCCACAAATGGCTCAGCGCGACATAGTCCACCGACTCGGCCAGTGATTTGATCGATGCGCTATCGACAATGCGAACGCAGGACGTTCCTTCCTCTGGTCTGATGTCTACTAGTCGTGTAGGTAGGGTCTTCGATCCACTTAGCCCTGAGTGACTGCAGGCTCCGTGTCCGTGCAAACATTGTTCAAGCCAGGCCTGAGCACCGGGCTTATCGTTGCCGAGCTGTAGTAGCAATGCCACTACACTGATTCACTTGGTCGCGGCAATCTTTGTCGTCCTCGTGGATTAGCATCTCTACCATGGACAGCTCTTCTTGAGGACCAGGGTAAGCTGCCTTGTCGTTTGGCCAGCTGAGACAGCAAGGTGCAGGGGTAAATACCAAGGTCAGTGACGAAGCATTCGGTCGTTCAGCCGGTTGACGCTGTAGCATCGCTTGGAGTGTGCACGCAATAGTCCTCTCTGGTGCGGATGTAGCGTTCTCGAGTACTAATGCAAGCCTGTTTTGGAGACCTGACACGTCTTGCCAGTAGTACTTGCCGGTTCTTCCACTAAACTCGCTGCGGAGACTCGTCCACTTGGGGTTGCTCTCGCCGAACGGTATGGACGCCATCTCGGCGAATACACAGCCAAGACTCCAAATATCGGCAGCTGATGTACGAGACGTTCGATGGAATCCCCCGAACACCTCGGGTGCGACGTACTGGCGTGTTAATGGCTGAGGTCTGCCTTCGCAAATATCGTCCGATGTACTGATGCCGAAGTCGCAAAGTACCACATGAGGGAATTCTCCGTCACCTTCAACAATGAGGATGTTCTGCGGCTTGATGTCCAAGTGCTTAACGACAGGTCGCTGCTCGTGAAGGTACCGTACTGAGGAAGCCAGACAACCAAACATCTTTGTGATGATTTGACTGAAGTTGCCAGGCTTTGCGTGTGTGAAGCGCTCTAGCCATAGCGATAATGTGGTATCCGCAATCGGCGAGAGTAGTATGGACAGCTTGTCTCCCTGGGAATAGGCTCCAAGAAAGCGGATTACGTGAGGGTGGCGTAACTTCTGTAGTACGTTGACCTCTTTCCTCAGCTCCTCAACAGCAGCTGGGTCGCGATTCTTTAGCGTCTTTCGACCGAGGCGTAGTTTTGTTCCGCGGTGTACAACTTCGTCGACCGTACTGAAGCCACCCGATCCGAGGAATCTGACGCTCAGGAATGATTGTGAGTTGATTGGGATGAGCTGGAGCACCTTAGGCTCGACTGGCATGGAGTCCGAAGACTGATATTCCTGCCGGACCACAAGTGTTCCTGCCCCGGTAGTAATGGCATCGTTTGTAGACTTTGGTCCATCGAAAAGTGACACCGGGCGGTCTTGCTTCGCAAACGTTAAGGATCTGGAGACAGCATCTCGGGCCAAAGGACCTGCGTCGTGTTCCGCTGTCGCATCGAGCTCGTGAATTGAGGATGATCGCTGTTGTGGTGGCTCTGATCTGCAGCGCATGCGCTGATCGCTCGTTGGTTTAATGATAGGTTGTTGTGCGTAATACACTTGACTTCCAGCCTCGCTTTCACTAAGTCGTGAAAGCTGGAACTGGAAGTAGCTGCCTTGAGATCCTGAACCGTTTCCGCCATCGTTGTGGCCGCCACTACCATAGTACTGTGAGTCGGAGCCACCTCTAGGAACACGAGGCGGTGGTTGGTGGGGCTTGCTGCTGTCAGAGTCGTCGTCGCTTGGTCGATCATCGTCATCATCGTTGGTGTTGTCATTAGAGCCGTCATTGGTTTCGCCATCATCCCAGTCGAGCATACACTTGCCCTTCTTGAAATGGTCTGCGATGTGGTCTATGCGGTCTTGCCTCGATTCGAAACGATGCCTGCAAAACCCACATCGTCGTGGAAATTCTGTCTCAGAACATACGACACTTGCCTCTTGGTAGTCTTCGCAGTTTATGCCCGGATGGATGTTACGAAAATGTTGGGCGAAATGGTACTTTCTGTAACACGGTTTGACGTTTTCTGTGCCGGTGCTCTTACACAGGTTGCATACCCATGATTTGCACGGGTAGCCTTCCTCTTCATTTCTCTTCCAGTCGCACTTGCGGCCGTAACGCTTGCCACACTTTCTTGTACACTGATATATTTTGCTCGGATCTCGGCTAAGAAGGGAAAGGTCGTCTGTAGGCGCGCAGCGCGACTTCCTGCCGCCACGAAGAGTATTGGATGATTGGCTGATTTTGGCAGTCTCTTGCATAGGGCTCACATCTGAGTTTGTTGTGATGGATCCCTGGTTGCTCTCATCGAAAGGTAGCTGTGGTACTTGAACGAGACTCGTGGCGTGCTCATCCCAAAACTGGTTCGACTGGGGAAGCGAAGTCTGTGATCGATAGGCGGAATCCCCCTGGCTGGTGTTCATGCCTTGCTTCATGAGCCGGCCAAACCAATGCCGAATAGCGTCCGCAGGCTCGCCTGTAAGCTGGCTCAAAGAATCGATATGTCGATCACTAGGCAGAATGGCATATTTGTTGAACCACATTGCGCACATGTCAGCAGCTTCGTCGGAAATACCGAACTCGATAGAAGAAGCTGCAGGTGTTGATTGCATGTCTTGGGCCCATGTCGCAGCAGGCGTAGGGAAGAGTGTGAAATCGGAGATTGATTCGTGACGCTTGGTTTGAGGCAAGTCCTCAACATCGAGCTGTAATGGCCGCTTACCAAGACTGAAGGATGTCTGGGGCTGATATAACGAATCGAAAGAGCTGCTGTGCCATGCTGAAGAACTCCCCGAAGCGTTATCAGAGCACTGTGAGGTTGTCAGCGGCCCGTACTAAGTCAGCTAGACTGGTTCACGTACAAGACCATGCTGCAGATCTGGTGTAAGCTGCCCATCCCATACTGAAGCACTTCCTGAAGTGCTATCCAAAGGCTATGAACAAGTCAGTCGCGGGCCAAGAGTTGCACGACTACATGTTATCAACTGCGACGGGGGTCGCAACAGCAGGCCGCCCTTCCAACAAGCTGAAGCTGTACACATGGTCTTTCCGTTGCACTCAAAACCTGGCTAAGCTGTGTGCAGCTCCAGAGTATTGGTTCGATGGCACCGCAATGTTCATTTCCCCTCGTAGTTGACAACCTCCAGGAAGGGTGCACTTACAAGGCCTTGCTGGATGTCATAACATGTGGGTGTCTGCTGAGGAAACATTGCCAGTGGGTCCACAAAGGTTGTGGTCGTGTCGATGCCCTCGTCACCAAAGAAGAAGCCGTTCGAGGTTTCACCCTCATTGGGCTTCGGGAACACGGTGCTGAAATCCATGTTCATGTCAAAGGCGAATCCGGCCGCGCCCTGGTGCGAGTCCATTATTACTATGGTCACGTACGAAGTGTAAAGGGCGTTCACGATTAGAAATCAGGACAGAGATGCCTGTAGGAACTCCGAGAAATGAGTAAGTATGAGGAAGATGTGTGAACGATCCAAGAGCCTGAGGCCGGGCCGTGTTTTAGATCAGGGCGCATCTACATTCGTGTCGGATTACTTTTACGGAGTCATTCTTCGAAGGGCTGTGCTACTGAGTAAGAAGGGCGACGGGTTGGTAGTTCCTTGACCGGTGTGGATGGCCGTAGACAGTTTTGGTAGGTGGCTTCCGCTGATCATCTACCCCAGGCTGTATTAGCGTCGATGACATAGCATCGAGGTTGTATCTAGTGTCCCTCTTCCATCACGCACCAATCTCGTGTGATGCCTTGTTCAATGATCAAGGATGATGAACAAGTCCCAGGAGAATAGCAATCAGGCCAATTTTCTGCGGGCATGTTATCTCGTACGTGCTGCAGAGTAATATGCTTTCGAAAGACGATACTGATCGGTATATCGAGACGAGAGTCAGCGCTAAGACAAACCTCTCTATTAGCGCCCTTTTCTTCGCGGGTCCCACAGCCGACGCAGCTAATCACATGTGAAGAGTGCGCTGCGCCACGAACCACAACTCAGCTCCCCAAGCCTCCTGTGAGTCAAACAGCTCCTGCAGCTCTTAACCAGGTGTCCCAAGCCAGCTACGAGACCGCTCGCTTGAGTCGACCATCTCCGCAATATGTCTAACCACAGTAGGTGGCGCGATGGTCCATCCACGGTTGTCTGATTGCAGATCCTGGCAAGTACTCGTAGCACGGCCATGATCCTCGAGGTGTTCAAACCGTCAAGCTCTGGGTTGGTCTTTCGATCGCTTGAGGCTGGTGCACAACATAGGAGGCCCGTATCCAGGCAGGTTAGATAGGAAGTGCTTGGATCGAGCAGGTGTCAGGTATCCCGAACAATGTCTTGAGATATGCACTAATTAGTTTGCCGTCAACCTATCATTATCCATCGGTGATGAGAGCAAGTTTTGTTCATGAGTATATACATAACTGTGCTACTACAGCTGCTAGGTTGTATTTTTTGGAGTGCCACTTTCTGTAGCCTTGTGGAAAGTACCATGTAGTTGGCGACTACAGTTAGCTACTCTCGTGTACATATGTACCACTTCCATAGAGGACTACTATAACGTGCGATATAGGATGAACACCTACATACACACCTGCAACAATAGATGCCATGATAGCTTAGCCTACTCAGCAGTCCATTAGTGACGAGCCAGAAGGCATTTTAGCACCATTTGATCGCTGATTTCCGCAGTATCCTCATACAAGCGCACATATACTGAATCAGTTTCTGGAATATGCTTAACAAGGTTGGAAATCTAAGCGAGCAACACGCGGTCTTGCCGAATTTGCTCTCGAAGCCTGAAGTAGATACGTGGTTCGAGTCCGTGAAGCGACTGACCAACCGGGTCCTGTGGAATCACTGCTCAAAATGTAGGTCGTGAATCGACTCAAGTTCATACTTTGCCGCTGTGTACGGGCAAAGGAATACTGAAAATTATGTATGTGAAGTGGCTTGACATTAACATATGCGAAGATGCGGAAATAGCGTTCAAACCTCATTTTGGTTGAACGGCTCCAGCACTTCACCAAGGGCGTGGTCCAGGAATGATGTAGTCCGGATGCTCATTCGATTCGTGAAGCGTTTTGTACGCAATCCCAAGCTCTGCTCCTGTATACAAGGCCCTAGCATCGACACCGCCTGTCACCGCCCTTGTTCCATTTCCAGTAACCTTTAGACTAAGGCACTGTGGATAAAATTCAGCCCCAACAGGCGAATAGGTCCCATTGCCTTTCGCAAGATGCGCTTGGTGAAGAGCCTAGTAATTTCGTCAGCCGTGCGTCCCGTATGTCCTCGTGCTAGAACACTCACAACTATTTCTGTTCTGAGCACGTACTCGGATGCCATCAATCCGTTTGGGATCTTGATGTTCCAACTACTATTGTCCATTCTTAGTTTGTCTGCAGCCCAAAGCCCCTCCGGAATGCTGTCATCTATCCACCCCATTTCGGCAATCTTCACAAACTTGAGCTCCCGCGCATCAGCATCTCTACAACTCCCATTGCATGGCGCAATGTAGTCCAAGACCGGGCCTTTGTGATTGTTCGGCCACGGTCCAGGTCCCCACCACTTCACCCTTACTGTCTCGCCCGCAGGGATAGAGGCGCTGATGTTGGCAGGCGAAGAGTTGTTGTTGCAGATGATGGAGTACGTATTAAGGTCGATGGGGTACAAGGGGCGACCGCCTTGACCGGTAGTGTACCAGCCCGGCGTGTTGTTGGGGTAGGGGACGGTATCGTAGTAGTTGGGATTGTAACCTGGATAGTGAGTGGATGGGTTGGGAGCCCAGATTTCGTCGACGTGTGAATGCGCGAGGACCGAGGTAGTGAGCAAGAGGATAAGAAGGGATGCACACATTGCGAGGGACATGGCGAGTGTTCGGGGTCGCGGCTCTTGCCAGACTCTGGAATGCGTCTCTATCCAGTTGCGAGGGTTGAAGATGTCGGCGGGTTATGTCGATGTTCGAGTGTCCTCTGTTCGACAGTAAGAATGCCTCCGTCCTCCCATTCAGGTAGCAGTTTGCACTGAAAGTCTCTCTCTATAGCTTTTATGATGAGCGTCCAGCTGTGGTTTCGTTGCTTCCTCGGTATCTGGCCATATCGTAAATTTGGTACTCGCTGTCGTACGGATCACCCAGGGCGATATATGTAGTTTCATCAGCAGCACGTCGTTATGATTGTTAGATTTGGCCCACGTCTCTATGTGGCACAAGACTCGCCAGATGATGCGTGAGTACTATACTTGCCATAGACCCATGTCGGGTTGCAGGGTTGCAGGGTGGGACCTTTATCCGGAAGCACGTGTTTGCCCGTCACCATAGTGTTTTGGTGAGACGTGAGAACAGTGCCAGGCTTGTCATGTTTCGAGAGTCTTGGCGGATATGAGTTGGTGTCGAACATAGCCTCTTGTGGAAATATTGGTCAATGCTTGTTAGTTACAACATGGGTACCTTGTGTTTGTCTAGTATCTGTCACGGCGTGGGTAGGTCAAAGCAGATGGTAAATTGTCTTATTACTTGTTGTACATAGCTGAGAGGCGTCTAAGCATGCCATACCCTTGATACAGCCTCAGTAATGCCCACGTCGTTGGTCTCGAATGAGTACAGAGCGACACCGAGGAGGAGGGTGCTGATGCGAAGAGCCCAATGGGCGGCGGCGCGCAGCTTGGGAATGCGCTTCTTGGGGAAGTAGTCAATGATGCACGATCTTTTCGTTGTTAGTCTAGAGGTCTCGTGCACGCAGGCGTGACCAGGATACGTACTCGAAGCCAATGTGTGAGTGGACGACCAACAGCGCACATAAGATGGAGTCGGTCACGGGGTTTAGCGATCCAGCAGCGAAGGGTGCGAGGGTCAGGGGAACGAGGCCAGCAGAGATGATGCGCTCAAAACTCCAGTGGTAGCTGCCGTGGGAGTAGTCTGGGTTCGGGACCGGCGTGGGGTCGTTGGTGGTGCCCTCGATCTTCTGGGGCAGCGGAGGCAGGATCTGGTTCCGCTGCGTGGCGTGAAAGGCGGCAATGCGCGTCGACGTGGGCATGGCAGAGCGCTGGAAGGCTGGTCGCAGCTGCTGGGCGAGCGGGCGGTTGAGGCTGGAGCTCGTGACAATCGACAGCGAGCGCTGCGAGGCGGCGGGGAGCTGGACGGCGTGCCTCAAGAGGCTCGGGCGCATGATTGAAGCCATTGCGCAGGTGTCGAGTATGGAGCGGACGGCGGACGGCGGACGGCGGACGGCGGGCAGCAAATAGCGCAGAGGTGGTGTCGAGACGCAGACGAGCTCGCCCCGGAATTCGCAGTTGCAAGCAAATGTCGTCAACCTCGGATCTGGATGCTGAGGATCGCTCAGGCCCTCATTGGTGAGCCCTCGCGGCCGGAACCGGGAACGACGTCACGTGACGGCAGATTTCGAACTTCGAACTCGATCGCCTGCAACCACGGCCAAGCTCCAGCTCGACGTACCTCATCCCACCCCCATCTCCGCCCCATCCCCCATTCCTTCCTGCACCGCGAGCAGACGCAATGGCTTCCCGGCGGCTCGCACTCAACCTGCAGCAGGGCATCCGCTCCCGCGCCGCCATCAACGCCGTCAAGGCCTCGAAGCAGTCGCCCTTGACACGAGGCCTGGCCACACCCGTCTCGTACGGCGCGAAGACGGAATCCACCACGCTGAAAAATGGCTTCACGGTACGCTGGACACTGCCCGCGCTCGCAGCACAGCAATTGACCCCATGACGCAGATCGCTACCGAGCACTCTCCGTGGGCCCAGACGTCGACGGTCGGTGTGTGGATCGATGCTGGCAGCCGCGCAGAGACGGACAAGACCAACGGAACTGCGCATTTCCTCGAGCACCTTGCCTTCAAAGGTTCGCAATTGCCCGTGGCTGTGCATGCAAGTGGAAGCTAATGCTCCGACTAGGGAACCCAGAAGCGCACCCAGCAGCAATTGGAGCTCGAGATTGAGAACATGGGCGGCCACCTGAACGCCTACACATCGGTACGTGCACCCGCGGCATGCCCCAATCACAGTCACGTGGCCTGCATACTGATGGCTTTGACAGCGCGAAAACACCGTCTACTACGCCAAGGCTTTCAACAACGACGTCCCCGCAGCCGTCGACATTCTCTCCGACATCCTCCAGAACTCCAAGCTCGAGACCCAGGCCATCGAGCGCGAGCGTGATGTCATTCTCCGCGAGCAGGAAGAGGTGGACAAGCAGCTCGAGGAGGTTGTTTTCGACCACCTGCACGCAACCGCTTTCCAGGGTCAGCCCCTCGGACGCACCATCCTCGGACCCAAGGAGAACATCCAGACCATCCAGCGCGCCGACCTCGAAAACTACATCAAGACCAACTACACCGCCGACCGCATGGTTCTTGTCGGTGCCGGTGGCATCCCCCACGAGCAACTGGTCGACCTCGCCGAGAAGCACTTCGCCAACCTGCCCTCAGAAGCTGTCGACTACTCCGCCAAGAGCGTCGTTGCCGAGCAGAAGCAGACCCCCGACTTTGTCGGCTCAGAGGTCAGACTACGAGACGACACCATGGCAACTGCCAACATTGCCATCGCCGTTGAGGGTGTTAGCTGGAGCGACCCCGACTACTTCACCGCACTGGTCACACAGGCTATTGTCGGCAACTGGGACCGCGCAATGGGCCAGTCTGCCTACCTCGGCAGCAAGCTCAGCAACTTTGTTTCACAGAACAACCTGGCCAACAGCTTCATGAGCTTCTCCACCAGTTACTCTGACACCGGGTACGTTCTAGTCTATCAAGCGCAACAAAAGTGTATGCTAACATAGCTCAGTCTCTGGGGTATCTACCTCACCACCTCCAACCTTACCAACATTGACGACCTCGTCCACTTCACTCTGCGCGAATGGACCCGCCTCACCATGAACGTCAGCTCTGCCGAAGTTGAGCGCGCCAAGGCTCAATTGAAGGCCTCCATCTTGCTTGCCCTAGATGGCACCACCGCCGTTGCCGAGGACATTGGTCGCCAGATCATCACCACCGGCCGCAGGTTATCGCCCGAGGAGGTTGAGCGCGTTGTCGGTGCCATTACTGAGAAGGACGTCATGGAATTTGCCAAGAAGAAGATTTGGGACAGGGACGTTGCCATCTCAGCTGTTGGACAAATCGAGGGTCTGCTCGACTACAACAGAATCAGGAATGACATGAGCAGAATGCTGTCATAAGCAGTTGGTGCAAGGTTGAGAAATTAGAGCTGTGTGAGCGTTGCGGCAATACTGTATTTTGTGTACACTTAGGCTGAATCTTATAAACAAGATTTCCTTTTATCTGGATAAAGAGACGTGTACATAAGAGTGAGGAATGAGGATTCTTGCAAAACGACATATGCACTCCGCACAACTGAACGTCAAAGTGATTGTCATCGTCTGTGAAATATAGCATTATACTTACGGCGAAGAAAGTTCGCAAATCAAGCATCCGGTAGGCCTGTCTACGCGGTTATCACAGCAAATGCTGAATGCATTGCTATAGCTGACATGGGAGGACAATGAATTCAATGTAGAAAAGACAGGGCTGTGGTGTTGTAAGAAAGGCATGCTAGTTTTAACGCCTTTAAAATGAATTGATGAACAGATTTGAAAGAACACGATGAAACGAAGAACGCTATGAGTTTCAGAAAAGTAAAGAATCGATGGTGTTGGAAGAGAGTAAGTTGTATGCAGGATGGCAGGGTGTCGGCTGGGAAAGATAATTACAAGATTGTGCGAAACACCTCAATTCTTCACGGATCAATGATGATGTATGAACATGAGCAATGTCAGAGTGTCTCGAACCATGCCCTGGAGTAATAAACCAGAGCAAGACTCGCAAAGCGATATGAACTTGCCATTACAGGACTGGGAGATGTTCCGGACGGCTATGCGCGAGAAGCTCTGAAGGTTTGAGATGAAGCACCTTTGAGGAATGGGCAGATAACCAGTCGATCTGTGACATGCGTGCATACAATGCGGTGAATGAACGTAGTTCAAAGTTCAGACCAAGACAACCTCGAGACGAACTCACAAGGCTGATCAGCATTAGTTCATCGGGTGTGCTTCACAGCTTGGCGGCAAGCGGTGACCTGGCGATGAGATGCAAAGTGCCAGAGTCAAGGTTGGAAAACATGCAAGGCGCTACCGGGCGCATGCGAGGTACACTTTCCTCAACGTGAACACATCAGGCCAAAGCTTGATCGCCTCTCCCCTGTACCAGCGGTGAGTCTTCGGGTACTCAACATCACCATCGTGATCCCACCACCCCTCGCCTAGCGCCAGGAATCTTCGCAGCAGCATCCGCACCAATCACCACCTCCATCCTGTGACAGACTAATTCCCGCGCCGCCCGCCTTCGCACGTGGCGACTATCACAATATGAAATCCCAGGCTGTTCGCCGTTTTCGCGGAAAATTCCGCGGTCATGCTGCATGCAGGCAAGTGTGTCAACATTTTCTGGTTCGGACATCAATCGGGGTTGGAGATTGAGCTTTGCACCCAAAATCAATCACGAGGCGAAGGTCGAAGTG